GTTTTAATCAAATAATAACGTGCTTGTCTCAGAAGCCAGACATAGATATATAAGAATACTTAACAAGAGGGTAAATATATAAGTGTTCTGGATTCCTTCTCACATTGGCCTGCAGGAACATGACACAGTTCACGCCCTTGCTAAGGCTTCAGTAAATAAAGACAGTATTGAACGGAATCTTGAGTTGTCAAGTAGGTCCCTTAAAAGTGTCATTAGACGAGAACTCCTGAATGGAAGAAAGTAGAACTGTGCAAACTGGAACTAGCAGGTCCATTGTTCATCACTATGAAATGTGTGAAGTAAAACATGTGTATGGGGCAAGTAACAAAGTCAGTAGACTAACAGATGTTGTCACAGCTCGTATAAGACTTGGCTACAAGTATCTCTGGCAGTTCGGCTTGTATAGGGATCTAGATGAAGTAAAGTGTAAAGTGTGTGGACAAAGACAGGGACACACACTCGAACACTATATCTTGGATTGTAGTAAAATTGAGTCATTTAGAGATAAATTTAAGTTCACTCTGTATAATATGGCAACCTATCTTATTACAAGGATAAAATACCTGAAATCCTTGCACTGTATCCATATTTCGCTTCCAGTAGATACACGACATATGAGATTAAGAAACAAGTAGTGTATTGTGAAGACTAATAATAAACAGCAGCTCCCCTATGACTGTAATATCTTCATTGGTCAAACAATTATATATTAACGATAAGACCTACCATTAATGTATGTCAATTTACTTACTATATATTTAGATAGTATAGAGCTATATATTTACTTACTGTAAATATATAGCTCCATAAATAGCACTTTCTCTGTAACTAGGTGACATGTAACTCTAAGGTGTGAAGGATAGATGAAATTGTTTATGGAATAATTTAAGATGAGGTCTGATGATGACCTTTTGTGCCCTCTGTAATGCTTTTTGCGCTACCGCTCACAGGATGAGTATGGGGTGCACAATAAACTTGCAGCCTCCGGCGGCAACAATCAAACAAAAAATCTCCCCCTCTGGGTGTCCCCGGAGCTGTTAACTTGCTCCATTGTGACCTTACAATGATTTGTTACCCAATAAAGATTAGTATCATTACTCTTTACAATGATTTGTTGGCCAATAAAGATTAGCATCATTACTATTAAGAAGTTTGTGTTGGGTTGCCTTACACAAGAGGGAAATGATAGGCCTCTCCTCTGTGTGCTCTACTCAACCCATTCTTTCCAATACTACATCGTATTTTGTCGTATGAATTCCTCTTCGGCCAAAAACCGATGGATTGATCGTCTCAGCGGCTCGAAAATTGATGTGATGTCCCGTTTTCTATGGGTCTTCGATAAGGGTAGGTTGGGGCACTTTTGTCCATCAGTTTAGTGACGTTGTGAAGGCTGGAGAGGACGGGCTGGCTGTAAGCTCTCCTAATACTTTGTTATCGTGTACTTCAGAAGTACCAGTACTACCAGTTTTTTTCATAATTCTCTATTTGTTGCTTGCATTGTTTAATTGTTTACATACGGTGTCGTCTGTCACTGAGGTTGAGGCCAGTGGAGGGGGGGGGCGCTTAGTTCCTCATGTACTCACCTAGTTGTGTTTGCGGGGGTTGAGCTCTGGCTCTTTGGTCCCGCCTCTCAACTGTCAATCAACAGGTGTACAGATTCCTGAGCCTACTGGGCTCTATCATATCTACACTTGAAACTGTGTATGGAGTCAGCCTCCACCACATTGCTTCCTAATGCATTCCATTTGTCAACCACTCTGACGCTAAAAAAGTTCTTTCTAATATCTTTGTGGCTCATTTGGGCACTCAGTTTCCACCTGTGTCCCCTTGTGCGTGTTCCCCTTGTGTTAAATAGACTGTCTTTATCTACCCTATCAATTCCTTTCAGAATCTTGAATGTGGTGATCATGTCCCCCCTAACTCTTCTGTCTTCCAGCGAAGTGAGGTTTAATTCCCGTAGTCTCTCCTCGTAGCTCATACCTCTCAGCTCGGGTACTAGTCTGGTGGCAAACCTTTGAACCTTTTCCAGTTTAGTCTTATCCTTGACTAGATATGGACTCCATGCTGGGGCTGCATACTCCAAGATTGGCCTGACTTATGTGGTATACAAAGTTCTGAATGATTCTTTACACAAGTTTCTGAATGCCGTTCGTATGTTGGCCAGCCTGGCATATGCCGCTGATGTTATCCGCTTGATATGTGCTGCAGGAGACAGGTCTGGCGTGATATCAACCCCCAAGTTTTTTTCCTTCTCTGACTCCTGAAGAATTTCCTCTCCCAGATGATACCTTGTATCTGGCCTCGGGCTCCCTACACCTATCTTCATTACATTACATTTGGTTGGGTTAAACTCTAACAACCATTTGTTCAACCATTCCTTCAGCTTGTCTAGGTCTTCTTGAAGCCTCAAACAGTCCTCTTCTGTTTTAATCCTTCTCATAATTTTAGCATCGTCCGCAAACATTGAGAGAAATCAATCGATACCCTCCGGGAGATCATTTACATATATCAGAAACAAGATAGGACCGAGTACAGAGCCCTGTGGGACTCCACTGGTGACTTCACGCCAATCGGAGGTCTCACCCCTCACCGTAACTCTCTGCTTGCTATTGCTTAGATACTCCCTTATCCACTGGAGCACCTTACCAGCTACACCTGCCTGTCTCTCCAGCTTATGTACCAGCCTCTTATGCGGTACTGTGTCAAAGGCTTTCCGACAATCCAAGAAAATGCAGTCCGCCCAGCCCTCTCTTTCTTGCTTAATCTTTGTCACCTGATCGTAGAATTCTATCAAGTCTGTAAGGCAAGATTTACCCTCCCTGAACCCATGTTGGCGATTTGTCACGAACTCCCTTCTCTCCAGATGTGTTACCAGTTTTTTTCTCACGATCTTCTCCATCTCCTTGCATGGTATACAAGTCAAGGACACTGGCCTGTAGTTAAGTGCCTCTTGCCTGTCGCCCTTTTTGTATATTGGGACCACATTCGCCGTCTTCTATATTTCTGGTAGGTCTCCCGTCTCCAGTGACTCACTATACACTATGGAGAGTGGCAAGCAAAGTGCCTCTGCACACTCTTTCAGTATCCATGGTGAGATCCCATCGGGACCAACAGCCTTTCTAACATCCAGATCCAGCAGGTGTCTCTTGACCTCATGTGTAAGATCTCAGAAGATCTGTTCGGTTCAGTAGTAATCTCGACCCCTCCCATCCAGCCGGCACATCACAGACACATCACAGACACATCACAGGCACATCACAGACACATCACAAGCACATCACAGGCACATCACAGACACATTACAAGCACATCAAAGGTACATCACAGTCACATCCAGCCGGCCCATTACAGGCACATCACAGGCACATCATAAACACATCACAGGCACATCACAAGCACATCATAAGCACATCACAAGCACATCACAAGCACATCATAAGCACATCACAGGCACATTCAGTCGGCACATTCAGCTGGCACATCACAGGAACAACCAGCCAGCACATCACAGTCACATCAAAGGAACATTACAAGCACATCACAAGCACGTATCACAGGCACATCACAAGCACATCACAGGAACATCACTGGCACATCACAGGCACATCACAAGCACATCACAAGCACATCACAGAAACATCACAGGCACATCACAAGCACATCACAAGCACATCACAGACACATCACAGGCACATCACAAGCACATCACAAGAACATCACAGGCACATCACAAGCACGTCCCAGGAACATCACAGGCACATCACAATCACATCACAGACACATTGCAGGCACATCTCTAGCATGTTACAGGAACATCACAAGCACATCACAGACACGTCACAGGCACATCACAAGCACATCACAAGCACATCACAAGCACATCACAGGCACATCACAAGCACATCACAGACACATCACAAGCACATCACAGGCACATCACAAGCACATCACAAGCAAATCACAGGCACATCACAGGCACATCACAAGCACATCACAGACACATCATAAGCAAATCACAGGTACATCACAAGCACATCACAGACACATCACAGGCACATCACAAGCACATCACAGGTACATCATAAGCACATCACAGGCACATCACAAGCACATCACAGATACATCATAAGCACATCACAGGTACACCACAGGTACATCACAAGCACATCACATGTACATCTCAAGCACATGACAGGCACATCACAGACACATCATAAGCACATGACAGGCACATCACAGACACATCATAAGCACATCACAGGCACATCACAAGCACAACACAGGCACACCACAAGCACATCACAGACACATCACAGGCACATCACATGTTCATCTCAAGCACATCACAGGCACAACACAGGCACATCACAAGCAAATCACAGGCACATCACAGACACATCACAAGCACAACACAGGCACACCACAAGCACATCACAGGCACATCACAGACACATCACAAGCACAACACAAGCACAACACAGGCACATCACAGACACATCACAGGCACAACACAAGCTCAACACAGGCCCACCACAGACACATCACAAGCACAACACAGGCACATCACAAGCAAATCACAGGCACATCACAGACACATCACAGGCACATCACAAACAAATCACAGGCACATCACAGGCACATCACAGGCACATCACAGACACATCACAGGCACATCACAGGCACATCAGACACAACACAGGCACATCACAGGCACATCACAGACACATCACAGGCACATCACAGACACATCACAGGCACATCACAGGCACATCACAGACACATCACAGACACATCACAGACACATCACAGACACATCACAGGCACATCACAGGCACATCACAAGCACATCGCAGGCACATCGCAGGCACATCACAAGCACATCACAGGCACATCACAAGCACATCACAGTCACATGCTGGATGTGACGACGTGTCAATGAGTAGACACCAAGACGTCAAGTCAAGAACGCAGCGATGATGTGGATCATCATGAGTAACTCATCAGTAGGCCTGGTGAGTCCCGGCAGCTGGGGCCCTGATCCCCGGCAGCTGGGGCCCTGATCCCCGGCAGCTGGGGCGCTGATCCCCGGCAGCTGGGGCGCTGATCCCCGGCAGCTGGGGCGCTGATCCCCGGCAGCTGGGGCGCTGATCCCCGGCAGCTGGGGCGCTGATCCCCGGCAGCTGCGGCGCTGATCCCCGGCAGCTGGGGCGCTGATCCCCGGCAGCTGGGGCGCTGATCCCCGGCAGCTGGGGCGCTGATCCCCGGCAGCTGGGGCGCTGATACCCGGCAGCTGGGGCGCTGATCCCCGACAGCTGGGGCGCTGATCCCCGGCAGCTGGGGCGCTGATCCCCGGCAGCTGGGGCGCTGATCCCCGGCAGCTGGGGCGCTGATCCCCGGCAGCTGGGGCGCTGATCCCCGGCAGCTGGGGCGCTGATCCCCGGCAGCTGGGGCGCTGATCCCCGGCAGCTGGGGCGCTGATCCCCGGCAGCTGGGGCGCTGATCCCCGGCAGCTGGGGCGCTGATCCCCGGCAGCTGGGGCGCTGATCCCCGGCAGCTGGGGCGCTGATCCCCGGCAGCTGGGGCGCTGATCCCCGGCAGCTGGGGCGCTGATCCCCGGCAGCTGGGGCGCTGATCCCCGGCACCATTCAACTGCACTCTGCTCCTGCACCCACCAGAGAGCTCACTGACTGTAGCAGTGAGGGAGACCTCCCTGAGCAGCGAGGAGGACCTCCCTGAGCAGCGAGGAGGACCTCCCTGAGCAGTGAGGGAGACCTCCCTGAGCAGCGAGGAGGACCTCCCTGAGCAGTGAGGGAGACCTCCCTGATCAGCGAGGAGGACCTCCCTGAGCAGCGAGGAGGACCTCCCTGAGCAGTGAGGGAGACCTCCCTGAGCAGCGAGGAGGACCTCCCTGAGCAGTGAGGGAGACCTCCCTGAGCAGCGAGGAGGACCTCCCTGAGCAGTGAGGGAGACCTCCCTGAGCAGTGAGGGAGACCTCCCTGAGCAGTGAGGGAGACCTCCCTGAGCAGCGAGGGAGACCTCCCTGAGCAGCGAGGAGGACCTCCCTGAGCAGCGAGGGAGACCTCCCTGAGCAGTGAGGGAGACCTCCCTGAGCAGCGAGGGAGACCTCCGTGAGCAGTGAGGGAGACCTCCCTGAGCAGTGAGGGAGACCTCCCTGAGCAGTGAGGGAGACCTCCCTGAGCAGTGAGGGAGACCTCCCTGAGCAGCGAGGGAGACCTCCCTGAGCAGTGAGGGAGACCTCCCTGAGCAGTGAGGGAGACCTCCCTGAGCAGTGAGGGAGACCTCCCTGAGCAGCGAGGGAGACCTCCCTGAGCAGTGAGGGAGACCTCCCTGAGCAGCGAGGGAGACCTCCCTGAGCAGTGAGGGAGACCTCCCTGAGCAGCGAGGGAGACCTCCCTGAGCAGTGAGGGAGACCTCCCTGAGCAGTGAGGGAGACCTCACTCTGTAGTGGATCAGTAGAGGGTGAGGCCCACTGGGGGGAGGGGGGGGGTGTAATAGGATGCTGGCCCCGGGTGAGGAGATAAAGTTCCACCTGATCCCTCCTCATTTACATACAGGAAAGATGCTGCCCATAAACAGCTCACTCCGTTATGTTGAAGCATCAGGCCTACCATCACCCTCTTTACGGTGATGGTAGGTCCCCCCGTCTTGTCCCATATCCTTATCCTCAACCCTTCCCAGTGCTGTATAGTCGTAATGGCTTGGCGCTTTCCCCCACATAGTTCACTTCCCTTCGGTAATATAGACCTACTGTGTTTTTATCATCATCAATATTGTTACAGTGCTCATGAGTGTACCCAGAGGTGTACCCAGAGGTGTACCCAGAGGTGTACCCAGAAGCGCAATTAAATACTGCTATTTCAGCCCGTCCTCCAAAAATGGGTCATGGAGGCCCTAGCTGACCAGGTTCGAATCCTTCACGAGTCAAGCGTTTCTGACGCATGTTGGCTTCGGAACTATTCAAACTTGACGGTTACTTACACACACACACACACATGGTTATATCACTACACACAAATATCAAGTTCAGTATTCCACGTAATGATCAGTGCACACAATTGATAGATCAATACACGCATGGATTGATCAAAACATACATTGGTTCATCAACACACACACAGAATAGTGCACACATCAACTAATTTGTACACACGAGGAATGATTGGTATACACAAAAAATAGGTCAATACAAACATGGATTGATCTGTACACAAAGCAGGATGCACTGAACCTTATGTGTGTGTGTGTGTGTGTGTGTGTGTGTGTGTGTGTGTGTGTGTGTGTGTGTGTGTGAGTGTGAGTGTGTGTGCGTGTGTGTGTGTGTGTGTGTGTGTGTGTGTGTGTGTGTGTGTGTGTGTGTGTGTGTGTGTGTGTGTGTGTGTGTGTGTGTGTGTGAGGTGGATATAATTCAGTTCCACAGTCCGTCAATCAGTCCGTCCAAAGCACAGTCCCCTTTCCCCTGCAGCCTTCACAACGGAATATAGCGTTAAAATTCTTGGTAACACACCATCAAAAATAATATATTTAGGTGTACGTAATGACCCACATGGCCCTGGAAGGTGAAACGCCCTATTGGCTCCTTCAGTGGCTCACCTCTTTCTTCCTGAAGAAGGAACTGAAGGAGGCGGAAGAGCCCAAGAGGGTAATGGCCGGGTTCCTGCAGAAGCATCCAGACATGGTGAAGGCAGGTGGGCCGGGGAGGGTGATGCCAGAGCCACCACACCACACCAGGGTGACGGCCTGGGGGATACCCTCCCTGGTGGAGTGGACGGGCCTCCTGGGGCTGCTGGTGCTCCTGCTGCTGCTGCTGCGGGGCGTCTGGGACCACCTCAGGCACAACCTGCTGGAGGAGGTGAAGGCTATGATAGCCAAGGAAGCGAATGTAAGGGAGATGATGTTAAAACAACAGGTACAGGTGTTAAGGGAGTCTATGTTGCAGGAGACCAGCGACTCGAGTGAGACCAGGGACTCAAGTGAGAACACTGACTCGAGTGAGAACACTGACTCGAGTGAGAACACTGACTCGAGTGAGAACACTGACTCGAGTGAGAACACTGACTCGAGTGAGATCAGTGATTTGAGTGAGATCAGTGACTCGAGTGAGATCAGTGACTCGAGTGAGATCAGTGACTCGAGTGAGATCAGTGACTCGAGTGAGATCAGTGACTCGAGTGAGGCCAGTGACTCGAGTGAGACCAGTGACTCGAGTGAGGCCAGTGACTCGAGTGAGAACACTGACTCGAGTGAGAACACTGACTCGAGTGAGAACACTGACTCGAGTGAGAACACTGACTCGAGTGAGACCACTGACTCGAGTGAGACCACTGACTCGAGTGAAAACACTGACTCGACTGACTCGAGTGACTCGAATGAGACCAGTGACTCGAATGAGACCAGTGACTCGAGTGAGACCAGTGACTCGAGTGAGACCAGTGACTCGAGTGAGGCCAGTGACTCGAGTGAGAACACTGACTCGAGTGAGAACACTGACTCGAGTGAGAACACTGACTCGAGTGAGACCACTGACTCGAGTGAGACCACTGACTCGAGTGAAAACACTGACTCGAGTGAGACGAGTGACTCGAATGAGACAAGTGACTCGAATGAGACGAGTGACTCGAATGAGACCAGTGACTCGAATGAGAACACTGACTCGAGTGAGGTGAAGGAGATTTTGGGGGAGGAGGTGAGGAACTTGATAGCTGGTAAAATGAGGGAGCTGATGAAGGAGGAACTGATGATGATGCGGGAGGAGATGAAGAGGATGATAGTGGAGGAGGTGAGGGAGGTCACGATGGTAGAGATGAGTGACCCCCGGAAGACGAGTGACCTCGGGAAGATGAGTGACCCCCGGAACACGAGTGACCTCGGGAAGATGAGTGACCTCGGGAAGATGAGTGACCCCCGGAAGACGAGTGACCTCGGGAAGATGAGTGACCCCCGGAAGACGAGTGACCTCGGGAAGATGAGTGACCCCCGGAAGATGAGTGGAGCGGGTGAGCATTCACATGTTCTACAAGGGAATGAACAGGACTACTTGCCAGAGAATGAAGAGAAGGCTTCACTAGAGAATGAAGAGACGACTTCACTAGAAAATGAAGAGAAAGCTTCACTAGAGAATGAAGAGAAGGCTTCACTACGGAATGAAGAGAAGGCTTCACTAGGGAATGAAGAGAAGACTTCACCAGAGAATGAAGAGAAGGCGTCTCTAGGGAATGAAGAGAAGGCGTCTCTAGGGAATGAAGAGACGGCTTCACTAGAAAATGAAGAGAAGGCTTCACTAGGGAATGAAGAGAAGGCTTCACCAGAGAATGAAGAGAAGGCTTCACCAGAGAATGAAGAGAAGGCGTCTCTAGGGAATGAAGAGAAGGCTTCACTAGAGAATGAAGAGACGGCTTCACTAGAGAATGAAGAGACGACTTCACTAGAAAATGAAGAGAAAGCTTCACTAGGGAATGAAGAGAAAGCTTCACTAGGGAATGAAGAGAAGGCTTCACTAGGGAATGAAGAGAAGGCTTCACCAGAGAATGAAGAGAAGGCGTCTCTAGGGAATGAAGAGAAGGCGTCTCTAGGGAATGAAGAGACGGCTTCACTAAGGAATGAAGAGACGGCTTCACTAAGGAATGAAGAGACGGCTTCACTAAGGAATGAAGAGACGGCTTCACTAAGGAATGAAGAGACGGCTTCACTAAGGAATGAAGAGACGGCTTCACTAAGGAATGAAGAGACGGCTTCACTAAGGAATGAAGTGAAAGACGGTAAAGCTGCGACTATTACTGTAAAATTAATGTATGACGGCCTCTCGTGGAGTGTCTCCCACCACCACCCAGACGGTGACCCCCATGACCACTCCCCCGGCGGCACTGGTGCCCCTGGCCGGAGGTCCCCTGGCGGCACTGGTGCCCCTGGCCGGAGGTCCCCTGGCGGCACTGGTGCCCCTGGCCGGAGGTCCCCTGGCGGCACTGGTGCCCCTGGCCGGAGGTCCCCTGGCGGCACTGGTGCCCCTGGCCGGAGGTCCCCTGGCGGTACTGGTGCCCCTGGCCGGGGGTCCCCTGGCGGTACTGGTGCCCCTGGCCGGGGGTCCCCTGGCGGTACTGGTGCCCCTGGCCGGAGGTCCCCTGGCGGTACTGGTGCCCCTGGCCGGAGGTCCCCTGGCGGTACTGGAGGCGGGTCTCATAGCCAGCACCGGCATCCTAACCAATTCATAACTGAAGCCCCTGTCGACGGGGAAGCCCCTGTCGACGAGGGAGCCCCTGTCGACGAGGAAGCCCCTGTCGACGAGGAAGCCTCTGTTGACGGGGAAGCCTCTGTCGACGAGGAAACACCTGTCGACGGGGAAGCCCCTGTCGACGGGGAAGCCCCTGTCGACGGGGAAGCCCCTGTCGAGGAGGAAGCCCCTGTCGACGGGGAAGCCCCTGTCGACGGGGAAGCCCCTGTCGACGAGGAAGCCTCTGTCGACGAGGAAGCCCCTGTTGACGGGGAAGCCCCTGTTGACGGGGAAGCCCCTGTCGACGAGGAAGCCCCTGTCGACGAGGAAGCCCCTGTCGACGAGGAAGCCCCTGTCGACGAGGAAGCCCCTGTCGACGAGGAAGCCCCTGTCGACGGGGAAGCCCCTGTCGACGGGGAAGCCCCTGTCGACGAGGAAGCCCCTGTCGACGGGGAAGCCCCTGTCGACGGGGAAGCCCCTGTCGACGGGGAAACACCTGTCGACGAGGAAGCCCCTTTCGACGGGGAAACACCTGTCGACGGGGAAGCCCCTGTCGACGGGGAAGCCCCTGTCGACGAGGAAGCCCCTGTCGACGGGGAAGCCCCTGTCGACGGGGAAACACCTGTCAACGAGGAAGCCCCTGTCGACGGGGAAACACCTGTCAACGAGGAAGCCCCTGTCGACGAGGAAGCCCCTGTCGACGAGGAAGCCCCTGTCGACGGGGAAATACCTGTCAACGAGGAAGCCCCTGTCGACGGGGAAACACCTGTCGACGGGGAAACACCTGTCGACGGGGAAATACCTGTCAACGAGGAAGCCCCTGTCGACGGGGAAACACCTGTCGACGGGGAAACACCTGTCGACGGGGAAATACCTGTCAACGAGGAAGCCCCTCCATATAGAGAGACCACTCTCATAAACCCTCCAGAGCTCGCTCTACCCACATGTCCAGGGGAAACCAACTCTAGCTGTACGAGCGGGGAGAGTGGAAGGATTTCCCCACCGTGGGTTGGGGAAACTCGTATTCCATGTGTCAGTTACCCCGCCATGCCTTCCAGAGTATCCCTCTTCCAGACCCACGCTCGGAACATCGCTCGGAACATCACTCAAGATCTGGAAGGCGTTTTCCCGCAGAGCCAGAACGGCAACGGGGTGATTGTTGTGTTGTACGTAGTGGTTTGTGAGGGAATGCTGAGGAATGATGAGAGAACATTGCACGTAGGCCCAGTCATGATGCAGGTGGATGGAGAGAGAACACTGCTCATGGACCCAGTCATTATGCAGGTGGATGGAAAGAGAAAACTGCACATAGACCCAGTCATGATGCAGGTGGATGGAGAGAGAACACTCCACATAGACCCAGTCATGACGCAGGTGGATGGAGAGAGAACACTGCTCATGGATCCAGTCATGACGCAGGTGGATGGAGAAAGAACACTGTTCTTGGACCCAGTCATGATGCAGGTGGATGGAGAAAGAACACTGTTCTTGGACCCAGTCATGATGCAGGTGGATGGAGAAAGAACACTGTTCTTGGACCCAGTCATGATGCAGGTGGATAGAGCGAGAACATTACGTGGAGAAGGGCGCTCGAGAAGAGTACTTCCTTTACAGCCAGTCGCCTACTTTATCCCAATCTCTCCTCCGAAACCCCAGAGTGAAAGGAACCTCAACAACTCCCCACACATACCACTAGGGGGCATTACGTTTGATATCTCTGTGAGTGGTCTTAAAAACAGAAAATGCCGGGCAAAGAAACCTTTAGTGACGAAGCCCCCCAGTGAGAACTGTCCCAGTGAGGAATGTCCCAGTGAGAACTGTCCCAGTGAGGAATGTCCCAGTGAGGAATGTCCCAGTGAAGAATGTCCCAGTGAGGAATGTCCCAGTGAGAACTGTCCCAGTGAGGAATGTCCCAGTGAGGAATGTCCCAGTGAGGAATGTCCTAGTGAGGAATGTCCTAGTGAGGAATGTCCCAGTGAGGAATGTCCTAGTGAGGAAACCTCGAGAGAGGAATGTCCCAGTGAGAAGTCTTCCAGAAAGAATCTTACGCACATGAAATCCCATGGAGAAGAAACCAACAAATAAAACTCCCAAATGAGGACAGTTCTAATTTGAGTGTTATATATATATATATATATATATATATATAATGTGGGAGTGAGTACCATCTCTGGCTGGACCCTTAGCCTCAGAGAAAAGCACACATAACGCATTACAGGGTATTTTTAACTCCACTCCAATATTATATCAAAGCTCGATTTGCCTAACAACGCCAGTATTCCTGAAATTATTTGTTTTTGTCATAGAATGACAAGATTTTCCATTTTATTATATTTATGATTTATTTTTTTTTAATTTTAATTTGAGTTTATATTAACGTATAAATATGGCCAAACCTAGCCAACTAAGTCAGTAATTCATGCTCTTAATATAATATAATAATATTAATTCAGATAAACTTAATGATTCAGATAAAAATTCCGATTGAAAATAAGGAAAATCACTCTGCTTGTTAGGCAAATCGGGCCTTGCTTACTAGGCCAAGTAGTATGGTGGCCCGGCACGCGTCCCTCGCCCTGCCCGGCAGATAACGCTCCCGTCCCGCCCTTCGACTCCCTATAATGAGATTCGTAAACATTCCTGAGTAGGAGCGACGAGGAGACTGTGGTCAGGAGAGGGGTTCGGCGGAGGCGGCACAGATGCAGGTCAGACATACATGGATTCATTAGGCAGACAGTAGAAGAGGAGTTGGACTTGAGAGAGGGAGCGTGGCAGGACGGGAAGAGAGAGGGACAGGTGGGAGAGAGTAATGGACAAGCCCAGAAGATAAAAGAGGCATGGCAGTGATGGGCGGGACAGGTAGACTGACACAGTGTAACACACGGTCTGGCAAGACCCTTCTCCAGATTTCCCACTCCGTAAAAATTCCAACCTTTTAGTTTAATCAGAAACAAGCAACCAACCAACCGAGTCCGATGCATAGAAAACAGGAATATTTGTGAGCCGTTAATTTTCTGAAGTAAGTTGTATTTGTAATAATGATTACGTAAAAATGCGACCTATTAATTGACAAGATGGGTTGTACTTCTCAACAGCTGGATGTGAAGGTGTTCGAACGCCATCAGTTGTGAGTCGTGTGTGTAAGTCAGTTTCCATTTATAAACAGAGCGCTTGGTGGCTGGATTAACGAGCATTTGGCCTTTGTTGAAGAGGACAGGCAGCCACACCAGTTGTTATGATGATACAGCCGCGGCTCCGCTGCTGGCAGGGTCGGAGGTGCAGCCCAGTTCCTTCACTCCCTTCTCATCCCTCTTCCAAGTGTTATATAGTCATTCGTGCTTAATAGGTTCTCCTTATACTTACCATAACGTGATAGAGAAATGTGAATACCGGAGTACAAGTTCTTCAGCTGTGACAGGAAGCAGAGACTACAGCGTTATCTTGAGGTTATCTTGAGATGATTTCGGGGCTTAGCGTCCCCGCGGCCCGGTCCTCGACCAGGCCTTCTTTTTGTTCCACTCCACTCCAGGAAGCAACCCGTAGCAGGTGTCTAACGTCTAGATACTTATTTACTGCTAGGTGAACAGAGCATCATGGTGAAACAAACTGCCCATTTGTTTCCGCCTCCACCGGGGATCGAACGTGGAACCTCAGGACTATGAATTCCGAGCGCTGTCCACTCAGCCGCCAGGTTCCATACTGGAGCCTGGAGGATGGGGTCAGCCTGTGCATCAAAGACATACTCATCAGCATTGAGCTGCTATACACCACAACTGATATGGTGGAAGTGCTGATAATCAAAAAAGAGATCCTAAACATGGTTATTGTTCTGGTATATAAGTCACCGGAGGTAAATCCTCAGCAGTTTAAAGACTAATGAAAATAGAACACTGCTTTTAAAAACTTCACAACGCCAGCCCCAATGACATATTGCTTGGGGGACTTCTTCCTACGGCACCTGGAGTGAAGAATGCGTCTAATACAGTTATGTGTGAGAATATCCCAGGCAGTAGCCCATATGAAGTCACACACAAGTGACCTATTACGGGTGTGTGACATATTGGCCTTAAACCAGCAAATTGTAGAACCAACTAGAAAGGTAAATATACTAGAGTCTAGTGTAGTTTTAGTATTTGAAATTCACTAAAGTCTTTGCTAGTTGTGTCCATGGCTGCCAACACTCTAGTTGTGTCCATGGCTGCCAACACTCTAGTTGTGTCCATGGCTGACAACACTCTAATTGTGTCCATGGCTGCCAACACTCTGGTTGTGTCCATGGCTGCCAACACTCTAGTTGTGTCCATGGCTGCCAACACTCTAGTTGTGTCCATGGCTGACAACACTCTAATTGTGTCCATGGCTGCCAACACTCTGGTTGTGTCCATGGCTGCCAACACTCTAGTTGTGTCCATGGCTGCCAACACTCTAGTTGTGTCCATGGCTGCCAACACTCTGGTTGTGTCCATGGCTGCCAACACTCTTTTTGTGTCCATGGCTGCCAACACTCTGGTTGTGTCCATGGCTGCCAACACTCTAGTTGTGTCCATGGCTGCCAACACTCTGGTTGTGTCCATGGCTGCCAACACTCTGGTTGTGTCCATGGCTGCCAACACTCTGGTTGTGTCCATGGCTGCCAACACTACCTCCCATCACCACAGTCACCAAAGGGGTGTTGAGTGGGAGAGCGGGAGCGGCTGGGCGCCACAGGTTGGCTCTGATCGATGACACCTGTTCTTCCTCTCGCCTCATCCTCCCTCATCAGTAGGCGAGGAGGGCGGGATATGAGGCGTTATGAGTCTGGCACGAGGGGTCACGAGTCTGACACGAGGGGTCACGAGTCTGACACGAGGGGTCACGAGTCTGACACGAGGGGTCACGAGTCTGACACGAGGGGTCACGAGGGGTCACGAGTCTGACACGAGGGGTCACGAGTCTGACACGAGGGGTCACGAGTCTGACACGAGGGGTCACGAGTCTGACACGAGGGGTCACGAGTCTGACACGAGGGGTCACGAGTCTGGCACGAGGGGTCACGAGTCTGGCACGAGGGGTCACGAGTCTGGCACGAGGGGGTCACGAGTCTGACACGAGGGGTCACGAGTCTGACACGAGGGGTCACGAGTCTGACACGAGGGGTCACGAGGGGTCACGAGTCTGACACGAGGGGTCACGAGTTTGGCACGAGGGGTCACGAGTCTGACACGAGGGGTCACGAGGGGTTGTGACCCTTCATCCCAAACGCCGCAGTCTAGACCTCATTTCCCGCCATTTTGAGGTCGTCTGTGTTGGCTCATTTTCGTGGTACTTGGCGGTAGGTTTATGAGTTCTGAAGAGGCAGGAGGGTGGGGGGGGGGAGACGCAGGTGGTACTCGTCCATAAAATTCGTGGGAGCACCCAACATGCTCTCCCGGCTCACTGCTGAGAAGAGCAAGCTTGGCTTAATTACCAAACACACACACAACGTGTCAAGAAGGCGGACATCCTGCCTGCTATCATAACTCATGTTATATTTCCCATTTCTTGTACCTCAACATCTTTAACTCCTTCCACCTAAAAAAAAATTCTTACAAATGTTTTACATCTAAATGTTTCCGGGAGGTCTTCTACTCCCCGGACTGGGGCCAAGCTTGACGTGTGATAACTTGCTCCAAGTTATCACACCTCTGGAATACATCCACCTTTGTTCCAGCAATATTTATAATGCTTGCTGGGAGGGTGTTGAACAACTGTGGACCTCTGATGTTCAGTGTTCTCTGATTGTGCCTATGGCACCTCTACTACTCACTGGTTCTGTTCTGCATGTCCTTCCGTATCTTTCGTTCCAGTATGTTGTTATTCTACTGTGCAAATTTGGGACCTGGCCCTCCAGTATATTCCATGTGTATATTATACAAAAAAACTCATTTGATTCCTTTCTCGTCTCCTTTCCAGAGAGTATAGTTGGAGAGCTTTGAGACGGTGCCAATAATTCTGATGCATACATATACTATGCTTCCTGTTCTTTGTATTCCCTCTAATTCAGAGGTCTCTCCCGTTCTGAAAGGGGCAGTGAGTACTGACCAATACTCAAGACGGGACAACACCAGTGATTCAAATACTATTAGCATTGCTGTGGGGTCCCTGGATTTGAACGTTCTCATAATCCCTCCTATCATTTTCTCGGCCGCCGCCATATTTGCTCGGTTATGTTCACTAAATGTCATAGTGTCAGACATTATAATTCCCAGATCTTTTATATGTTGCTTTCCTTCTGTGGTTATGTCTGACTGTTTCTTGTACCTTCTGTTTCGTTTAAGTTGCTCGTTTCCACCATTTACATGTACCTGGAACTTATCACTGTTAAACATCATGTTAATTTCAGTTGCTCAATAGAAGACTATTAATACTGACCTGCAGTTTTTCAGTGTCTTCTACAGAGGAAAATTTTCATGCTGATTTTTGTATCATCTGCAAATAAAGGCACTGCATATGAAGACTAGTCTTCATATGTGACTAGTACTTGTTTATATATCCGAGATTAGAATGAGAAATAGCAGCGGTGCTCTATGACTGTGCCCTGGGGTATAGCAGCGGTGCTCTATGACTGTGCCCTGGGGTATAGTGCTTTTCACTGTACTTCGACTTGATCTTATGTGAGTGACTGTTACTCTCCATTCTGTTTGACAAAGTTGAAAATCCAACGCCCCACTTTACCCGTTATTGCTATTGATCTCATGTTATGGGCTATCACTCCATGGTCACATTTGTCAAATGCCTTTGCAGTCTGTGTATACAACATCTACATCTTGCTTTTCCTCTAAGGCTGTTGTGATTTTGTCATAGTGGTTGAGTAACTGTAGTCAATGCTATAGCTATTGGGCGCCTGACAGCTGAGTGGACAGCGCTTCGGATTCGTAGTCCAGAGGTTCCGGGTTCGATCCCCGGTGGAGGCGGAGACAACTGGGCAAAACAGTTTCTTTCACCCTGATGCCCCTGTTACCTAGCAGTAAATAGGTACCTGGGAATGAGACAGCTGCTACGGGCTGCTTCCTAGGGATGTGTAACAAAAAGGAGGCCTGGTCGAGGACCGGGCCGCGGGGACGCTAAGCCCCGAAATCATCTCAAGATAACCTATCAGTGACTAAGGGGAAGTGAGGTCTATCTCTTTATGCCTCGCCTACTAACTAGCCTTGGTGTACCCGTTGCGTTGAAGCTTCACTATTCTAACAATCCACATCTTTGTCGCACCTGTCCTTAAAGTCGTGAATGGAGGAGGCTTCCACAACTTCTT